TTTTGTAGTATATTTTATTTCGGAACCCAGAAGAACAAGCAGAATTATATGCTGGAAAACCTTGATTCCGTTTTCGTAGTCTTGGATTTACAACAAATGATACTATAACAAGGACCATCCGTGGGTTAAAAATTGACCTTAAACAGAAATAAAATAGAATTTTTGAACGCATATGTCAACCACACGCCGGCCCTTTTTGTCCGTCCAAAAGAAAAATTTACTGAATACTACATTAGAATTGTATATATATTCATTTATACTTTAATTTCTTCTGCTTAGCTAAAAGACAGATTTTGCTTATATTAACCATGCTTGAGCGTCCGTTTAAAAGATTTTTTATGGTGAGAATGTCGTTTTAAAATTGTAGCTAGAATTCGTTAATTAGAATTAGGAATTGAAATGGGGATACATTAAATAATAATAATAATAGAAACGTTGTAATATCCTATATTGTTGATTCGACTTTGGTGATTCTGGAATTTTTAACCATGAGGAAGCGTTTTTACTGCCTTAATAAAAAACACGAACCCTTTCTTTTCTGTACTTCTTATCTGAAACGGTAATAGAAAATCACGTTACTATCTTTTTCTGATACTCTTTAACATTAAAAATTGAGTAGGATATATGACCTAGTTTTGTAGATGAGCGACTGTCACTGCAGGAAGCTCTCGTGCATATAGATACAACATAAGAGCACATCATTGATTTCATACACTTCCATTGATTGCTAGAGTTTGACAGTCTTTCTGTGAGTGTGTTCGCTACATACCCGTGAGTTCTTTGTAATACAATGTAATCAGTCTCTTAATTGTGGGGGAATATGTGGGAGAATGTCACCAACATCCAGTGTAAAGACACATCCGTCGCGAGAAAAACCGTTTTTCCAAATCAAATAATATCAGTAATAGGTAAAAGAAGCTAAATCCCTGATTTCCGTGATTTTTTCGACATTTTACGAACGATTTATTGCCCTTAAGGATGTCAATAGTAGTTTCGACATTCTTCATAAAGTTTAGCAAGTTAGGAAGTCAATAAATTTAGAAACAAGTAAAATGTTACTTTTACAAGATAAGCATATCTCGCGCAACTCGAACGTTTTCTAATTTTTCGACGTATTTATCTGAATGAATATAGTGTTACCATATTTAAAAGTATTCACAATTTTTTTTCACTCCCGGTGGCTTTCCTGAAGGTCGAGTAAAACTCGAGTCTTGAACCGTCCTTTATGAGTATTTAGCACGTCTTCAGTGCCTGCACAGCTTAGCATTAATACCCCTTCTAATATACTACGTGACTTACCGAAGATGTTAAATAACGGCTAGATGTAAAGCGTAGTGATTATGCATCAAAGCATCTTAGGTGGACTGGTGTAAATAATAAGGTGTATATAGATTTATCTCGATTTTGACATCTTCGATTTGGGTGGTCTAATAAGAGTAGATGTGCCACATTAGGTTTTAATCGATTCCGTTTTAGTGTTTTTATATGCTTGAACATACAATCTGCTCTATTTGTTTTTTCATCGTATATGGCTTCACATGCATGTTGAATGACCTATCGACACAATCTGTCTTGTACATACTTTTTGGAGACATTTGCTTGGGCTACACTAACTTTCGCGCAATGACTGCAAAGAGTACTTACCACAGCTTTACCTGTATCTGCATAATCTAATTTTAAGGAAAAAACTACCTAAATGCGCTTACCATTTGAGTAGGATTACATTTAGCAATCGATCGATATAAACTTTGAATTATATATATATAACGAATTATATATTATATTGAACACAACGAATTAAAGAATCACGAATGTTTTGTTAAAAAGCTAAAGAAGAAGGACTATTGTTCGAGAATTTATTGATGAATCTTCCAGAAGCTTGCTAAATTCTCATGCTTTGTCATAGGTCTTGCTAAAAACTGTGCTCATTTGTCTTTTCTTTGTTAACCGCATTGAGCGAACCGATTCTCTCAGCTTTTGTTAAGTTATTCTCTTATGAACAAAGGTTTGTCTTCCTTGTTCCTTCCTAAATTCCTAAGAATGTTTTACAGCTTTTACGGTAGTTACTCCATTCCTTTTGCCATTGTCAACTTGAATGTTCCATAACCCTTTTCAACACCTTTATTGCCGTTGCTAAGTGAAAAGCAATTTCTGTTTATTATTTCTTACGAGTGTCTAAACTCCCTTCATTTGACATCTACATACAGCATTATATTAGATTAAGAGGAAAAAAATTTTACGTATGTGTCTTTCGCTTATTCAATTGATGCGTGGTTGCAATTTATTACCATTTAAATCAGTAAGGTTAAGGCGCTGAAAGCTCATGTTCACTGCATATTGTTATCGATAGCCGACAGCAGTTTCCGGATTTAAAGTTATCGCTAGCTCTCATATCCAGCCTAAATGTGAGGAAAAATCAAGATCGGTCCAATTCTTTGCATAATAATACATTTTCTGTAGTTTACATTGACAAAAAAATAACGAAAAGCGTGTTTACTTTAGAATCAGCTAATGCGCGTTATTCAAGTATTGTAATTATGAAGACATTAGGTAAATCTATGGCATATGATTAGCGCCCATTAAGGAGAAGAAATTCAAAGAAGTGCATCATCTGCAGCTAACAGAATACCTGTTTCAACCGTAAAGCTATTTTTCAAACTGGAAGTTTATAACAGTTAAATTGCATTATGTTTCTCTTCCTTCGTATAATAGGCATATATTTTATTTTGTATATAGTCTTTATACAAGTTTGTTCCGATCTGAATGTTCCATTGGGGTTAACGAATTTCCCGTAAGGTGCCTCCAAGGGTTTGTTGACCGAGAAGAACATCGTTAGACACAAAATAGAAATCAGGTAAAGCACAACGAAACATCATTATTTTGATTCTTTATCCCCCTCCTAAAAGATGGAACATATTTTTCTTTTGAGTATGACGATTATGATCTTTTGATTTTAAGCTCTAGCGAAACACGTTGTTAAAGAAAAGTACCGATAAACGACACAACTCCGAAGATTAAAAGAACGGTCTGCTTTATTTAGTTATAAAGCAGTTCCTTAGACCCGTTCAACTTTACCACCTACGGCGATTGGCTCTAATTTTTTTAGATTAGTCTCGCAGATAAAACAAAAAAAAATATCCTTCATTTCCCTTCACTTATTGTTAGTTTCTGATATGCCGTTTGAAAGCGCTCGTCTTGTTGGATCAACGTGCGGTAATAGCATTGTGTCGTCAGTGTAATTTCAACTTAAAGCGACTCCTCCAAAAATGGATGTTCCAATGAACTTTCTGAATCCACCAATTCATTACAGGTTAGTGCTGCATCAGCATATCGGCCGTAATCGAACGTCACGTGGCCACAACGACCGGTTTTTGCACAAAGTTGTCATCCAAGAAGAACCAAATAATTGAAATGTGTGACTACAAGAAAATAAGCCAAAGCCCTGGGTCCAATTTGCCGCTCAAAAAATGTTTTGTTTTGCGTTTGGTGGGAGTCCAAGGCTTGGTTCATTAGAAGTTGCTTCCCACAAACCAGGCCAGATCGAGGCATTTATTTAACCAAGTTGCGTCCCGCGTACTCAAGAGGAAAACCCAACAAACGAAATCATGTCATCCTGCTCCATGGCAGCGGGAGGCTACAGACCGTAAACATCGTTAGAACTACTCGTTACGACTTCAAATTGGAAGCTTTGTTGCACCTTCCATATTCTCTGGACCTTCCGCGGATTTTACTCTACGGATTTTTACTTTTCTCATTTACTGAACAATTGTAGCCTTACCCTTGATACTGATCAAGAACTTCAAACATAATTGGAAAATCTCTTCGAGACGAAACGAGCTACTTTCTGGCAATACAGCATTTGGTAATAACTCAGAAAGTTTTATACAATAACGGTGAATGCATAATACACCCAGTTATTGTCACAACGTGGTGATTAAGAACGTGGTGTTTTCTATTCAGAAAAACGCCGAGACTTTCTTCCCAGTTGATATTTTTCCTGTTGACGTTTTAGGTCGAACATTCCGATTTGGAGCAAAGTCTTTAGAAGAAAACAAAATACAAGCCAAGAAGATGGTAATTAAGTACCAGGATTAGTCGAACGAGAAGATTCCAAAGACTTTTTACTTAAATTAAAGCAACCTAGACTACAGAGATAAACAGACGGTTGAGCACAGAAAAATGGGTTTGCCGTATTTTAGTGCTGTGTATATCAATCTCTCTGGGGCTCAAAAATACTTTTGCGCATGGCCAGCTGAAGTTTCCACCTGATGATTTTCTTCACCCATCGCCGCCTATGACATATGTTATCTTTAGTAACATTTTCAATGCAAAAAACTTGACTGCACTTAATAGGGTAAAACCCGTTTCGACGGAATCTATTCGCCAAAGGTTCTTAATCTCTTCCTTCAAGATCCTCAGTTTAGCATAACTGAACGCAGCAAAAGTAAAACATTGAAAGAGTTAACAAAGGCGAAGTATCTAACATCGATCCCCAGTTCTTGGTAATGCCAGCGGTACGAATTAATGGGAGTCGTGTGGAGAAATATCTCCAGTTTATGACTATTACCGTATTTCGTGCATAACAAAAGGTCTTCGTAGGTGGGGCTTCTGTGGCGCTGCACGACTACGCAGCTTGCATAAAGGTAGTTGCTCTTGTTGTATACCTTGAACACCTCTACCATATTATTTGAAACTAAGCTGAACTGTTATATATATAAATATGTACAGGATTTCACTTGAATTCAGACCGATGTCACAGTATTTGCCACTTGCTTTGATATGAGAAATGCCGGTGATGTATGAATGTACGTTAGGTGATAAATATAAGGCTCTTATAAGTTGGTATGGTGTTGAACTTTATCCTTAGGTGTATTCAAGCGGATTGTACTGTCCAAGCTAAAGGACGCTATGCTGCCTACCGCTACGCTTGTTTTGACATCCAAGTAGGGGTAATCCAAAGTAAATATCTTGCGTGTTACATGTGTGATATAACATTTCAGATGCTCCAATTTGCGCCAAAGATCGGAAAACAACGTACGGAGCTGCTCGAAATGAAGCTGTACGCATCTTGTGTGAACTGGAAGGAGATCCTAACGAAGTAACGTTTAAATGGCGCTTTAACAGGAGTAAAGACCTGGCTTTCTCGTCCAACGTCGACACGATTGGAAACCGCTCATGGCTTACTATTGTTCCCCAAACAGAGGAAGATTATGGGCATGTTATTTGTTGGGGCAAAAACAGCGTTGGCCTGCAGAGAGAGCCTTGTATATTCAACCTAATACCTGCGAGTCCTCCAGATCCGGTGCACAATTGTAGTGTCTTTAATCAGACAGAAGAAACGTTAACAGTGACCTGTCAAGAAGGATATAATGGTGGAATCGAACAATCATTTCATATGGAACTTCGTGAGGCTGAAGAGCGCGTTATGCGAGAAAATCTCTCATTCAAAGCAAATGTTAAAACTTCTGCTCTAGAAACATCTTTTGCAATGAACCAAAAAGCGACAGGCCCTTTAGCTACTACTGTGGTAATATCGGCCTCGGGACTAGCTCCCTCTACAACGTATCTGGTGGCTGTTTGGGCGTCTAATGCTCGTGGCCAAAGCCCGCCCACAATGCTCGTGGCTCATACTATGACCTCTCCAGTTTCCCTCACCAGACGGGGTAAGCTATTTGTTTGGTATTACAGTTATTAAGAAGTCATAACCTCAAAGTCCTTTCGTTTATTACATATCTTCAAAAACCCTTAAGCCGGCTCTAGCATATTAACTTGTTGGATGATCTGTTTCTTGTGAATAGCCCACTTGAAGATCAATGAACGTGTTTTGTGCGCACATATCCATACATGTATTTGGTTTAAGGATGCTAACTTGAAAAACAGAAAAGCGCAATTTAGAAAAGATCTTTGTCTCATTGGGAAAATGCTTTTATTTTAAACTATCACACCATAACATACTTGTCGACATTTTCCCGAGCTTGCTTTCATAACACACCGTCTCCTGAAACAAGCTATTTTTTTGTAAACGAGGTAACTAAGGAAATGACTACTGTTGGTCCAATAGATCAACGGATGTGCTTGGTAACTTACGAGAAACGAAGACTTTGTAGACCTAATACAAAAAATGGATGCAGCAACGGAACTTAACGTCGAATATTTTCTTGGCCGAAAAAGTGCCTCTATTTTTTTTTTTTTATAGAAATACGGCTTTTTCCTCACACGTTATGTAGTGTGTTTATGGCGAGATCTGAATCGGCGACCCCATTGGTTTCTTTCACTCAAGATCTTGGACAAACCACCGTCATTATACAATAATAGCCGGCAGGATGTATTATGGCATGATGTGCATGCCATACCTTCCTGAGAGGATGAAAGCTGCGGAAATTTCCGCTCGAACAAAACAATCGGTGGGCTGGCAAAGATATCCCGCTGCTTATGGCTGATAATAAACGGCTAGGGAGAGAGTACATCCAAAGGTCACTATTATTATAGTGTATGGTCCACGGGTAAAAAATGCTCTTCCTGACCCAACGAGGTGACGCAAGCTATGCAAATTGAAAGTTTAGACGGTCTAGAATTTATGTCTGGATTTGAATCACAGATCATATGGAACGTAGTTTTCACCAAAATATTCTCTGGCGTTTGTGAAGGCTTGTAACTGAAAAGCCTTTATTAGGCCAGTAATTTTTCTCATAAGAATTTGACTGTGTTGTAATGGCTACCACGCCATAACATATCCATTGAGACTTCTTCGGACTCTAATACCAAATCATCCTTCTCGGACTAGCTTTTTGTGTCATCAATATTTTTCTTATCAATGAAAATAGAACGAACTTATACCAATAGTTCTAAAGATAGACCAATATAACTGTTACGAACTCAAGTAAAAAAATTTGTGTCTGAAAAAGAAAGCAGATCCCCATTAAGCTCTGATGTGAAACGTGAAAATATTTCGTGAGAACTAAACGATTTCAATATCGAATAAAAAACTGCTAATTTTTATATTTAGAGCTTTCAGAAATTCTCAAATATTGAGCAAGGTACTTCGAAAAAGTGGTTGTAGCCATTTAACATTGCTTCAGTGGCGGGAGGTTAGCTTCACATTACTCAATATGACTTAAGGCAAAAACGCTACGATATTCAAAAGCTTTTAGAAAAATATGTAATTCATCAGATTCATCTGACAGTAAAAATCGTTTTTTTATCCAGAAAAGGCAGTTTTTCAGTAAATTTCAATATTTTTTTTTTTAATTCAAGCAAATCTAACCCTGAGCTCACCCAGATTTCCGGAAGCCACGCGTTCCCACCTGCGCCGACGTATCGGCACTGCATCTCATCACCCATTACAATTCTCTCTAGAAATCTATCATTTTGTCTGTGGGTTGGTGCCTAACTACACATTGAAGGGCAATGGAAAGCCGTTCGTGGTTTTCAGTCAAAATATGGGATACATCGGCTTCTATTTTATGAATGAATTCCATTTAATTAACGCGGCTGTGTCAAAAGCGCTGTCCTTAACTACCTCAGATGGCTAAACGGAGTGAGGTGCACACCTTCGAAAACATCAAACCACCTTCGAGCAGTTCTTCTAGGCATAGTCTTTGGCGTAAGCACCACATATATCTTGGACTGCTTCAATAATGTTTGAACCTTGATAAAAGGAAATACTCTGAATGCCAGAAATGCGTCTTTTTTCATATAAAATACCAATTTTCAAAGCTAGGACTCGTAACTAGTTTGAAACGAAATTTCGTTCAGCATACAACGGCATTATGACTACCTTATAAAGCAGAAAAAATGGTTTGCTCATTATATATATATAGGAACTAACCATTTTCTATACCTTATAAGGCAATCATAGTGCCATATATAACTGTCAAGTCCACTTAAATCTTCGCCGAGAGGGCTTGGTGATCTCCGTGTATATTTACCCATCGTAACACTAAACAGCAGGGTCAGAGGCCCGCACGCCAATTATTTGCTGTACACAAAGAGTCTTGTGGTGAAGCTTCATATTGAGCCCAATGCGAAAAATAACCTTGATAACCTTTGCAGACGGCTAAATAGAGGACAAGTCGAGAGGTTTTTGTCGTCCGATCTTTCTTTAGTGGATTTATAATGTGTTGCTGTTATAAACAACATTCAAATACTATTATCCTATGAGTTTGTATCCACATTTGCTGTGGCGAAAGTGTAAAAAGCGCAGAGGAATAGTTAAGCTTACTAATGATGTAGACAGTATCTAGCATAATTTTATGGATTTTTCTGCAATAACAAGAATATTAAAAAGATGCAAAGATAACTAAATCTTTTGCGAGAAGCTGTAAGTTATGGAAAATCATGGATATATTGTTCAATATATCACTAGCAAGCGCTCTATGGACTTATATCTCCACGTTTGTATTGTATTGTAGGGCACTATGATCTGGTTCTACCATTATAATGACCGCGAAATTTTTTTTGCGAAATTTAAAAGAGATACGTATAATTTTAAGATACTTTTACGTCAGTTATCTTCTGTTACTAAAGATTATTTTGAATTCATCTGTTGCATCATGTAAATATTACGCGAGTTACATATATTTTGTTTTTATGTTAATATAATTTATCGTAATCACTTAGTTTCTTATGTGATTGTGAGCTGTTCGTTGTAAAATCGTACTAAGTCTATCAATAGTTTGACCACACAGACCTATCCCAAAAGTTTTAGTTCATAAAATATCTTTATGAAGCATATCACTTCATCGAGGGCATACCCAGACGGCCTGTAATTGAAAAATGGTTTTAAAAATGACTCATGTAGCCTTAAATGCTACTAATGAAAAGCAAACTACGTTATCAATTATTATTTTAATCTCTGTTGCAAATATATAATACATTTCAGGCCTGTGGCACGTTACCCTAAGCCCTCTACTGTTAATTCTCATCTCGGTGGCGATGGGAATATTACTGGTGGCGTTCATAATAATATTCGTAATGAAGATTCGAACTAAACAAGTAATAAAGAACTGTAAGTACAGCATTCTGTTGTCAGCATGTTTTAGCTTATTGTAGGGTGCAAGTCCAGCCAGTGTTTTTTCACAACTGATGGAATTAATTGTCAATAAACAGTAATTTTTTTCTGATTATAAAATATAGAATATGTAAATTATATAATGAAAACAACCAATCGCTTTCGTTTAAACGTTCAATAACATTTTTACAATATTTTATCGAGAAATAGATTTGAATTATTATAATTCAGATCTCTACCTTTACTTTCTACCTTTAGCAACAACTTCTGAAAACGTATTGCTGAATTCGAATTTGTTTCTTTCGCAGTGTTCAAGAAGATGTTTCGGGTTTTTTTTCCAACACTGCCATCCGCATTGTTTCAGAGCGTTTATCCCTATTTTGAAGTTTCACTATGTTTCACCGAAATGTGCCCTTTGCGGCACACATTTGCTTTTTGTTTACATCTGATTATACAGGAGCTTCTAATTAAAGTATATTTTAACAAATTTATATTAAATTAACAGATCATATATATGATCATTCTGTTAGTGGTCCGAAGATACACCAGATAGGTTGTTTAACTTATCACTTGGACAAGGTAGCTAACATCTCAGCTCAGTCTTTGAGACGAACATACGATACATTGCAAAGATAGGTTGATTTTTTTTCTATGATCAGCTTTATGATTATTTCATTTAATCTATGATTAGCTGGTAAAATCGTGTCTTCCTAGAACTATCCACGTCTTTGATAGTTGGCTTATCAACTGTATAATTTTTATCACTTCGCTTATTTTCCATACGTGATAGCCCACCTTTTTTCCGCTTTTTTCTGTTATTTTTCAAGAGGAATCCGAACTCTAATTGATGATTAGTTTTTCGATTACATGAAATCTTGCTCTTAACAAATGATATTCGTTATAAAAACAGGGTTGTATTCGTTCAAGATAAAGTTCAAAATGTCTCTAATTTTCTTGTTAGATTGTTTCTGATATATTATTTTGAAACAGTACATGCTACAACATATGTCTACATATAGGTCGTAATTTTTTATTGCGGTTACTTTATTCCTCGATAAAACTCAAGATTTTGCAGCTATTTTCTCAGCGTAAATCTATATCTTTGACTCGTAAACTGGAAAAGAGGTTCCAGATTTTTCGTAAATATAAACTTTTGCCGATTTTATGGCGTTTGAGCAGTTTGTATAGAGTATAGAAAAAAAGATGGCATACTTGTACTAATCTTAATGGAAATTTTATCTGAGCAAATAAAGCGAAATTGTCGATAATTTTTTGACACAATATCGTTATTCTCCTACTAAAGCTTTTTGTAACAATGATCTTGCTGTGTCACCACACTACCCGTTTCCCCCATTCCAGTTCATTATCTTCATATCCCTTTTGGGAATTACGTGCTTATTTCGTTGAGCTTTTCCAATACAAATTTTTCACAAAATATCAAACAAACAAAGTAGTTCTTCGGTTTGCTCTATTTCATGTGGAGTACACCCCAGGTTGCAACTCCAACGAAACACCAAAAGTAGGTCAATATTACTACTTGACTTGACTCGGGCAAGCCGATGGACACGATTTATCACCTGCCTGGCTTTCCCCAAACTTATGCAAATAAATTAGTGGACAACTATTATTAGCGTGGGCCGGGGAGTAATTACCCGCCAGAATCACCAAGCGATTAGTTATTTACGCGTGGTATTATCCTGCAAGTCAGATTCAAAATTAAACAGATAGGTTGAAAATATTACAAACTCTTAATAGGAGTAGGCTTACTCAAATTAGCACCAAAATAATGTAAAGGTTCTTTTTGACAAAAACCACACATTCAGGTAGCTTAATATTATGCACATTCCATGCCAACATTATATTTTAACCACTCATAAATAACAGTTCAAAGCAACCATTCTATGGGGGAGATTTACATGCGACACATAGAAACAGCCGCACATGCTTGTTAGTGGTATCTCATGGATGGTTCCTAGTTCGCCACACGTCCTTAGGTATTAACAAACCTGAGGTCCACCTTGAGTACATACCAACAGTCAACCGGTTGCAATTGTCCTGCTCTGCTAAAGCCGTTACTCAATTATTGAGCAACGGCTTTTTAATATGAATTGGAGAGGTACTATAGCTCAATTGGAATTTCAAACCCTTGGCAATTCTCTAACTTCTGGGACAGCGATTCGTATCTTTTAGTGCAGCTAACCCGTTGCAAAAATCGTACTTGCCTGAGGCAGTTGGTCTAACATCGTGTTACTGTTTCACTGTTCCATGTATTTTGCTCTCCCATTATAATGTTTTAATATTGCGCTCATAATGCAAATATGTAATCAGTAATACCGTGCTTTTCCAGTACTTGAGTTTAGTATTTTTAGCATTTTAATTCGAATTGAGTATGTGCTTAATCGCACAGATACAGGCGTTTATTTCGTGTTGCATTTGTTCTGATATATCGTGGCAATTATTCAGTCTAATCATATGTTCTTGATTGACGGAATTCGTTACTGTGTTAGTGACTCCATTATCTTGTCGCATTTATACCCTGTTTGTTTTGACAATAATCGACAATACTAGTAGAATGGTTCCTCTTTCTTATTGGAGACATCCCAAGAGACTTAGTGCAATGAATGTGGTGATACGGCGAACTCGTGAATGCGCTCGTAAAACCTTGAAAAAATAGCTGGACTCGACTCTGAACTTGATAATATAGAGCCGTTCATTCTAATCCATTTGTACTCCCTGTGTTAAGTGTCCCAATGGCTGATAAGCACAAAGAGAGCTTTTTTAATGTAGTTTGAAGACAACCATTCATGCATTACGAGCTGAGCGCGTTCTCCACGCAATAGAATCTTCAGAAACGTTTTCGAAAAGAATTAATTTCTTATCGTGTACGTGGTGCCAGCTAGAGGCCTCAGCTAACCCTGCCTTTTTACAATCATTCTCGGTCTTTTTTTAGAACGTGACTAATTTGAATACCCTATTGTATTTTCTCCATCTCGTTGATTAAATTAATCACGTGCCATTGTATCCCGTTCTACTAACGGAATGTTTTTAAAAAAAAGTTCTACAGCCACGATGCAGGTATCTTGTTAGCCTGATATAATACTTCGTATTTCACCTTGCCTGACATAAAATATTGGTCAGAAGTGTTAGCGACTTTTACTTTTTGGAAGGTTTAATTGGACACATTTATCTACGCAACACTACTTCCACGTGACAGTTTGGATACACGGACGGTTTTGTTGTCACACTACGTGCAACTTTGTTACCCAGCACAATGTTGATATTAGCACAGCTCGGGCTGTGAGACGGAGCACAATAGCATCGCAGTTTATGCGCCTTGGTTATCATTGGGCGGCAGCAGTCGTAGCCAGTGATTTCAGTCGGTTAATATTGTGCTTTACGGGAAACAAGAATTCTACAAGGCGGTGTATTTGCTCCGTCGGATTCGTTTCCCGCGTATATCTTGTAATAAGGCAAGTTTTTGGGTTGCTAACGAGCTCAACTTAGGCCTTTCTCAGATTTTATATCTTTCGTTATGGTTTTGCTGCATTTAGTGGTGTCAGCATCCACCCTTTTTTTAAACTCTAAAATAAGACTTTCAAAGTGACTCATAGGAGTTGCTCATATTTGGTTGAATTGCTATATTAGGTATGTGAACTTTGAACTGATATTTTTGTTTGCGCATTTATGTGCAGTATATTTATTTATTTTTTTATTTCCAATGTAAATGCACCTATTGAAATGGGTACAGTATGATTAAACCAGCTTTTAGAATCGTATATACTCATTTCAAATTATATTGTACTCAAAATAGAGTCATGCATGTGAGAACCGTGTGTAGGGATCAATTTTGGAGCTGAACCAGAATCTGAAAGTAGGTTTTACGCAGATTTCAACATGATTATTGTGCAATGTTGGGGCTACGTGGACGCTTATGGCCAAAGTAATTTCCTTATAAGGATACAACATACGTTTCGAATTAGTTGATTCCTTCTGTCGTCTTTAGAATGGAAATTTTTCCTTACTATTATTTTCTTTGACAGTCTCGGTCGCAGCAATCATTTAGGGATGTAACTTACAGCAGGTGCCTAAGACTCATGCGAGCAACATATCTCATCAGAACTTTATATAAACTTTTTTCTTTTTGGAAGTAAAACGACATTATTATATCTTGAAAATTTTCCTTCTAGTTCTATATTTTTAACATAACTCCATATCGGCAACGCGCGTTTGAACAAACTCCTTGCTAACAGAAGGCCACGACTCCTTTGTAAGTGTGTAAAATTTTTTTCTCCAGGAGCGGGCCAAAATCAAGAAAGAGGATCGGTACGGAATACCGTCCCAGTAACATGGAAGAAAACGTTGCTAATTTTCTCAGTTACTGCGACGGCAATTGGGTCACCTGCACGGAAATGTTGGGCATTTTGTTTTACTTCGAAAATCGTGATGGAATCCCCATCTATATCTGTTGTGTTGTAAAGGTTAACGCTAGAGAGTTATTACAACTGATATTATTTTAGCATAGCTTTTAAAGCACGTTAGCGTCACAGTATAAAGATGTTGGGTGCACATACTATGTAGGTTAGAAATGCCATCAAATGAATGAAAATATTATATAAACTCTATACAGCTGAATACGCTAATTATGTCAAAGCTTTCGTCTTTCCTTAAAGATGTGCAGGTGTTTGCATACTAAAAATACTTTTTGTAGAGCAAGCCGCCGTCAAAAGCAACTATTTCCTATCTCGCCGGTTGTACAAGATGTTGGGGTGCGAAGGCGTTTGCGCCAGTGAACACGGTATCAACAGCGGTGAAGAAGCCCCGGTTTAAGCAAGTAGAGCAAGCGTTGCGGAGTAACAATGTCAGTCCAACAATATTGGGCATCATCACACGACCTTACTATAGCAAACCGTGTGCTTAGCGTTACGACGCTTATCAATAGTCCTAAGCATTTCCATAGTTATCATTATATATATTAGTATATAAATACGAGGTGCTGCTCGAATAAATAGCATTTGTGTGGATGCTAGTACGCTGTCACTATCCTTTTGTCCTGGCTGTCTCCTTTCCTTTCTAGCTGTAAAATAAACGTCGCTATCAGCATACGAAATAAACAACAGTTATAGCTGTTAAGCCTTTGGAATCGATAGAGCGCAAGACTGCCATATATATATATATATATATATATATATATATATATATATATATATTAGACAAGAGGCATTTTAAAAAATTTTGTTGAAACATTTCAGCAACGCTAAACAGAGGGGCCTGTGAAGACAAACCTCAACATTTCCAAATAAAAAAGAACATCATTACTAACTTCGAGCAGTCGCCCTACAGAAATAAAGAAAAATGCCCTGATATCATCCCTTGTAAGTACTTTTATAGTGTTATAATAGTGATAAGAAAATGTTTCAATACTTTAAATAGTTTCTCATTTAAATAGCATCTACAGCATGCATATACGCTTTTTAGAGACCGATTCGTAAATAGTACTGTAATTTTCCCAAGTAGATGGAACAAATACATAATTAGTCTGGATAAAGGAAGGACTTACTTTTCTAATTTGATTAATAAATTTTCTTACAGCTGAACCTCTAAATAACTGCCGGTTGGACACATGCTTGCTCGATACTTCAATGCCAAGAAATGCGAGTCTCCTCCCCTCAGCTAAAAATGTTGGAGGTGTGACCTGCAGTTTGGTGGGAACTTGCGAACCACCGAATAGCATGATACAGGTGGCAGGGCTAGAGCAATCTGTAGCACCGTTATGTACAGGCACTTTGAAAAATAACGCGTGGAATACCCGAGTCACGATCCATGAAATGCATGCACTGCGCATTCAGCAGCCCGTCTTATCTTCAGTGAACTAGCGTAGGGCAAATTTGCCTCAACACGATAAATCTCATTTGACCCTACAGAGTCCTATACCGCTTAGAGATAACTCTTCTTAAGCTTGGTGTAGAATGGAGTCAATCTTTTTGCCATATTTAATAAGAGCTTTTGCGTTCTCGAACACGCCATCTTTGGAAGAACGTACTTGCAGACTTAGAAGTTTTGAGCACTGACAGCCCGGCTAAAACCTGGTATATCGTACTCATTAATTAAGAACTGAATATCTTTTAGTTTTTCAGAATCGTTATGAACGTCAGTACGTTGTTTCTAGCTTGGTATTCAAATAATTCACGAAATTGCTTTTAACATAATGTAGGATATCATGTTTAACAGTTTGCCTTCTGATCGGTGATATTACTTCAATATAATCAGTAACAATTTTACCTTACCTAACAAGCTTCTAATTTCTTTTATGCTTGTCAAAGCTGTTGTTGCTTGTGACATATATGTCAATTAATAGATTATCTTAGACATTTTGGTAATTTTTTCTATCCTTTTACTTAGTTGCCCGATTTTACTATTATTATTTATTCCGAGAAGTAAGGTTCTTATGTACCGCAGACCGGTCTGACTTCAGTCGGTTTATCTGTATACTTACTTTATTAATTACTATTACTTATTGATCCAGTTTGAAGTTTAGTGGAGTAATAATCTGCGTTCACATGACTTCATTCTGTGAAGGTGGAATGGCCCGTTACTAAGCATTATTGTCCTGTAGTTTAGACTGGCCTTATCTTAACTAGCGAAATGTCTACACATTGGACTGCATGATGATACGCCGAGCTGCATCATTCACTATTGGCTAAAAAAGACTGCTCTATCGGTTACTCTATGGTGAATCTTAGAGGCGTTCGAATTAGCCTGCCTTACACTCTACCTGACATTTGGAAAATAAGAATTTCAAAGAATTATTATATACTGAGATAATTATAGAATAATTCGAAGTGACATCCTTCAGATAATAAAAAAGCTGGTATTTTTGTTTCACCTTACGGTATATATTATATGTAGCACTTAGGACGGTTGCCAACGTGATCGAACACACCGCTTTAACGGCGCATCTGTTTGTTCGCACTTTTTAGTGATATTCGCATTTGCCCGTTTTCAATATTTCCAGCTACTTTAACAGCCACTTACGCTGACCTGGAGTACTGGATGGATTCACTACCGCAAGCTCTCAAATGTGTTACGCCTCATTTTCTACCAGCCTAGAGGCCTATCAGATCTTTGGCATTACAGCACAAATGAAGAGTCTCAAATATTTATGTGGATATCGACTCCGAATATATGCCATTTCTCCAGGCAGTACTAGGCTTCCAATGGGGTATTGGTGCTAACAGGCTGCAGCCTTTGTAAAAATGAAATGATGTGTTATTGTTTTTGCTTGAAGTTTGATATATGCAGTGATTGTGACATAATAGCTGTATAAGTAAGAATAAAGAAGTTGTGGTGAAAGATACTATCGGTATGCAATACGAGTAACGGCAACTTTTAATTATGTTTTGAAGTTATCTTTACCCAGCTTTTGTAATATTCATTTTGTTTAAAGGGTAGCTGAAAAGTAGCTCTTACAAAATAACATACAGTGGGTATAAACTCATACACGTATATTCTTTTAGAGTATAAAGCGAAGTATCTATTACTAGTTGACGAACTTCTCATAACAAGCGAGGAAAGAGGTAAATACAAAAATACTAAATTGCCGAAATCAGTTGTTGGTAGTACTAAACTGCGACACCTTTACAAACGGAAGGTGCACGCATAGGGTTTAAGCATTAAAATGCCAAGCAGAATCACCGAGTATGGGTATTTTGAGAACTCAGTGTTTCAGGTGATATTGTCTAAAAAAAAAGATACATCCCACTTTTAAAGTATACGTCTTACTGTTCTTGAGAAGCTACTGATACAACATATCTTACATTCAGGTAAGTCCAGGCTGTTTTCAGCATGCCGTCTTACAATTTAAAGGTCGTTAGAAAATATTCACACCTGCTGATAAGTTAATTGTACATGGTATACAAAAACGTAAAACACAGTCTTTATGATGGAAGCATGATACCAAAATCCAAATAGCCATTATCAAATTACATCTCCTGTACAAACTTGCCAATGCATCATCTATAATTTCGTGTTACTTGTCCGACTTAATATCGTAGAGTTTAATTAGATTTTTTCTCTTACAAAGCTATTAGCGTTTGATACTGGCGTTAAGTGCACGTAAGATGGAGAAGCTTATATGTTTTTTCTTTCTCTGGTGTGTAATGTCAATTTAGATCACTTTTAGGAACTTGTTCGACAACCCTTGAGCATTAGTCAAAGACCTGAAGGTTATGAAGTTGTGTTTCTTAAATTTAAAAAATTGGTAAAAAATTGAGTTTGTCAGATAATTGTCGATGTTTTTTTTTCAATTTAGAGGTAACATGGTCATTTTAGTCGAATTGGCTGAGATATGATGAAATATGAACCACCGCAGTTCATATTCTCTAAATTGATTACTTTCTCCCAAAAAAGTACTTTTTCTCCCATAAAAACGCGTGATGCCAATTCGGTTTGCAAAATGGTTGGTGAAGTCTGAAGCATCTGGCAAAAAAAAATTAACTTAATGTGGGTTCATACTCTTTAATTAAAATTTTTAAATAATAATATTTAAATTAAGATAAGTTTTTATACAGTTTAAATGATAATAACAGGAAAAAAGTTTTTTTTCTGAGTTTAATGCTCTATAGGTTGCAAAACGCCACGCGCGACCTGATGTACCGGGATTGTTTTTACAAGAGTACTCCGTTGGGAGAATAAGCTTGCTAGGTCCAAAAGATACCGATCGTTTGGTTTCGTTGCTGAGAAGTTATTTCCAGCGGAACTAGTACATGGTTTTTCTTTTTCCTTATATCACTTCAGTTGTCACAAAGAAGTTGGAAAAGATTTAAAATTTTTAAAGGTTTGTATGCAATCTGTGAATCAGGGAAATAGAAATACTGCAACGAGAAACAAGGTTGATGCTCCAGTATTTCGGAAAAATGGCAACCGGATAATTCTTACAGGTGTAGGTCTGTCTGCAGTCGAACTGCAGTTTATGTTAAACCACGTCAAACTTGTTCGTATTCAATACGTACTACGGACTAATGTATAAAAGCAAAACAGTAACGGGGCATGGTAATAGCAACGGGATAACTGTTGATGTGTGCTCGATGCATAATCTTTGGTAGGCTGATATGTAGCATCAACGAATCAGATTAGTTAATCAAAGGTGCAGGGTGAAGCCAGGGACCTGTACAGTCTACCCAGAATATTACTAAACCTAAATCTGTTCGTCTGTATGCTCATTCGTGTGAATGTTTGTTCGAGCCAAATCGTCTCCGTAAAATAATCGCATTGAACTGATACTACAGGGATGCTAGACTTTCATTCTGTGTTGATGCTGTATTTGAGGTGAAAAGGACTAGATGAATACTATTTTCCCAGCAAGACGTATATTCTTGCAAAACGTAATGTGAGTACAAGCAGGCTGGTCATACTTTGTGACCCGCTCAACAACCTTTAAGAATTTGTGATTTATGTTGGAAAATTGCTTGCTTTTCAGGCTCAATAAAATAGACATATTGCTAGACTTATAGAGAATATTTGAAATGTCTTTTATGGAAAAGCTGTTGCCTTTTCAAACTCCGATTTGATCCGATCAAACAACAAACATTGATTTAAAGGAAAGACGTTTTTGACTTTCTTGCAGTTTAATAATGGAATGGCAATTTTTGCCTAAATGGTTAAGGATTGATGAAGTTTGGAATATCTCAGTTCATATTCTATTGATGGGATGCGTATATTCTTTGAGTTGGGAATACAACGTTTTAATTAGAGCGCGGGGATAACTGTAAGAGACAACGGACTCTAGGCTAAGTAAATGCGTCCATGGAAATTGACGTTACATGTATATATAGAGCAATCAATTTTATTTGAAATTTTGAAAAACGTTTATATTTAAAATTTTGAAATAAGGATCGATTATTCAAGTTCTTGTTAATATACATGCACTGCATTACCGGATCAATGGCAATACAGAAACGAGGTTTATGAGACATTCATTTCACCACGAAAACCAATTATTACAACAGGGTGATGAATAACTGGATCAAGGTAACGAGGTCACTCTCGTAAAGTTAGAAATCGACTAGGTCATAGAAGTACAATTAGTGTAACTGGATTAATATAAGTAATACAACATTATCCTAAGAGGAGTGCAACCAAATATTTTTAAAGAAAATGGTTTGCCATCGAGTTTACGTTAGGTTAGACGTAGTAGGAATTGAATGTTAGAGGCTGATAAGTCACATTTACTTCATAAGGAGGCGTTGATGGTCTGCTACTTCTTGAGGCGTCATAGATGGATGTTCTGGCTTTAAACGTGTTGCGTATCGTTAAGTTTATTTGCCTTTACAGTGCTTTTAGCGTGGTTTTAAAATATCACTTTTGCTCGGTGTTTCCCATTTTATTTAATTATCCACCTTCATTCATCATTTATTGAATCAAGCTGTTGAATTAACTCACTTAATTAAATAAATAACATAAAGTAGTCAAATCAGATGATCAGCACAAAATGCTGCATGTGTATTTATGTTTCTCTGTAGCCGACTATATTCATTCCTTTCGAATTCGATGCTAACAGGTCTGCAGAGTAGCGCATTAAAATTTCTCACCCGCCAAAAAACCTCTTCCTGAATATAGCTTGTCGTCGAATATCTCATACATAATATACAGAACAGTATAATCACATACTCCAAAAAAACTTAAAACATTTAGTTGTTCGAGACGTTTGGAAATTCGAGACTAGAAATGTTGACATATTGTTTGTATCTACAAACTATCATACTTACGATTCCAATTCCAAATTCGAAGTCCAGACGGCCTAGTAGAATTCCACACGAGTCAGGTAAATGTCAGATGTTACTCTGCGATTGTTATTTGGAGGCTATTCTTATCGAAGAAACAAACGACCTATCGTATACATGACAACTTTGAAACTACCATATCTATCTACGAGAAATGGCAGACTAACAACGGCTCCTCGCCAAAAAGATGTTGGTTTTTCAAGCATTTATTAAATGCTTGAGACACCCGTGCATAAAGCTTTTCCTAAGTTAGATAGATTCGGAGACTTTTCTGGCGTATATAGCAGATTGTAGGAACGTATAGATAACAGAAGTCACTAATCTGATCATCTGCGATACTAAAACCTTTAGGACTCGTTTTAATTAAAAACAATAGTGATTGCTAGAACAATTGTATTTTAGACATAATTTAACGCTTTTTAGCGTAGTAATATAGCGATGGTATTTGAGTGCCTCCTATTACGAATGTATTGCATAGCTAAATCCGCTCATTACTACAACTTATGCACTTCCTGTTATTTAACAGATGTGAGACAAGGACTCAACTATCTAGAGACCTTTTAAAACTACCAATTGACATTTTTTAAAACTATGCAGAGGCTTTGTTGTCCATTTTTTGTCCATTGTGAATTTAAATGCACTGGTTTAAATGCTAAGTGTTTTTTTAAGCATTTAAGACTTCACGTGGAGTTCAACAGAACCAGTTTTATCCGGCCAATGAGGAAACTACAATCAGTGCAATGCAAGACAGGGGCAGCGTTACTGGGATGAACGAAACTGTGTGCGGTTTTGTGCAAGCCGTCTAAGCACAAAGATGAGGCTGAAACCTACGAAGTCACTGTAATAAAGCGCGAAAGGTAATCGAAGGGATATACTGTCAGATAGCTTAAGAACAGTACCCGAAGGAAGTGCAAAAAATAAATAGTTACTTCTACTCTAGGACTACCTATCGGTGAGGCGTCACATATTAGAGGGCGAATTTCTGTCAGATAAGAAAATGTGGTTCGTAAATTGTTCGCGAACTATATACAATATGGAAGATACCTCAAACGCCCGAGGAACTAGCCGCTAAAACGACATAAACGTGGATTTTGAATATGACTTCTGGTACCTCGACATGCGAAAGAGTCTAGTCCAAAGTGCGGGTATCTGTTCGAGTAGGCCCCTGGACTACACAGGAGGTTTGTGGTAGTTTCTTAAGATAACCTAGTTACATTGCGTCATCCATAACATGTTGGTCCGATAACACACGAACACACATATCGGTTAAAGTGCGTAGTCAACAAATTGAAGTGAAACAGGTTTTAGTAACTGGTTACAATGAATGGTTTTCAGCCACTTAGGACATAGTATAAAGGTAGACAACCAGTTTTGTTTGATTAACGACAAAAATACAATTGGCGACTCGCAACTGACTTAGCACAATGCTAATGTCTATAGGGTAACCTCAATGTCAGTTTTAGACTAACGTGTTAGTCCCTTGCAATTTGGTAGGAATAACGAAGTGTACGCAGCCTTACTACTAGACCTCAGGATTGGCCAGATATTGGTCTGCCTGATATCTGC